TGGTTTTTTATTTAGGATTTTCTTCCTTGAAATCATGTCTCATATTTGCTTTTCCTCAGTATGGGCCCCAATTTTGTAGAGAGTCATACTTTCATCTCATTCTATTAAGAGCCTAGCAGGGTGCAAATCCTGTGCCAACCACCCTAACCTGCAAGTGGCACCTGCCCATCTTGCTCTGGGCAGTGGCAGTCTGACCTTGTGCTTGGTTTCCTTGAATAAGTCTTCTTGGGCTGGCTTTATATCCTCTCCTCGTCATACCCCCCAGTGACCACATCAAGATGTTGAAGATGGAGGGGTAGTAATGTCAGAGGCAAATGGAGCTGTTTTCATGCCAGGTGCTTTTGGGGCTGTCCAAGCAGAGCTGACAGTGAGTCTGTCCAGTGAGCAGGGACCCCCCTTGCAGCTCTGGGGTTCTCAAATCCCCTGCTGCTGAATGGGAACTACCCCTGTACAAGAACTCACTTGGTTTGAAAATCATGGCCACGTTTGCCTTCCGCAGCCACATCAGTAGCACGCTTAGATAGCCCACGTGAACCTGAGGCATGAATAATGCTTAGAAATCGGAAATAAGTGGAATCATTTTTGGGGACTCACGCAAGGCAGATCAAATGCCACCTGTGCTGCATACAGCAGTGATTTTAGTGAGTTGTCCTAACATTTCACAGTGGACGGAAAGGCACGAGTCTGAGTGCTTTTTGCTCATGTATTTACTCGCTTAATGCATCCCAGTAGAATGTGCACAATAGGACACGTCCCTTATCCATTATGCACACGATGCTGGTTATACTTAGCAGGCGTCGGGAGAGCTCTTTGAGGCTTCTGCCTCCCCTTTTACAGGGAAGACAACATTGGAGCTCACAGAGGTGAAGGAACTTGTCTAAAATGAAGACTTCTGCTTATGCTTTTAAAAATCTTGTAAGCAGGTGAGGTGGAAGAATAGCTCTGTTATGAAGAATCGTCTGGAAGTGACTGCAAGTGGCCAGGGCCAATGACCGACATTCCTACACAAAGCCAGAATTAATAGAGGGGCCGGTACAGTGACATTGCAGGCTAGGCCGCCTCCTGTGATGCCAGCAAGCCATGTGGGCACTGCTTCTAACCTGGCTGCTCCACTCTCATCCAGCTACCTGTTCATGGTTTGGGAAAGCAGCAGAGGATGGCCCAAAGCCATGGGACCTGCACTCACATGGGAGACCCAGAGGAAGCTCCTAACTCCCAGCTTTGGACAAGCCCAGTTTTAGCTGTTGTGGCCAGTTGGGGAGTGAAACAGCAGTTGGAAGATATCTCTCTGTCTCTCCCTTTCTTTCTGTAACTCAAGTGAAAAACAGATTTTTAACACTTACATTAAAAAAAAAAAGTAAAAAGAACTAATGGGAAGAACTTCTGTGGTAAACTCAAATCATGGAAGAAAGTCCCAGGAAGATTACAGCTGAAATGCATCCAGTGTTCATGTAAGTGGCGTGTCTCTGCAAGATGTGGAGAGCACATGGTTTTCCAGCTGTGTCCTGTTGCAGGACACAGGAGCTTCCCATAGGCCCTTGTGCCTGCCTGGATCGAGTCTGGAATCCCAGGAAGAGATGTGGGACAAGTTTTGAGACTTGAATTCATGCTCAGGAGCCGCACATGTCCATATGCATTAGGAATCTTTGTCACGTGTACCCCATAATTGTTCCGATTCATAAGGTGTAACTCAGTCCATGTGTACGTGTGTAATAAGCACTCAGGATGAGCAGCGTTGCCATCCCCTTATGCATCTATCACTTCTTTGTGTTGGGAACCTTCTCGTTCTATATAGAGTGCATAATGCATTGTTTAAACACTGGAACCCATTCTACTATGTATCCCCATTTCCATGTCTGGTCTCTAAGCTCACTCTTGTCCTTGCACCCCCTGGCTTCCCTGGGCACCAGAGACCACTACTTTTTTGAAATCAGCATTTTTTTTTTTTAGCTCTCACGTGTTTGTAGGAATATGTGCTGTTTGTCTTTCTGCACCTGGCTTACTTAGTTATCCAAGTGTTCCAGTTTTATAGTTGCTGCTGTAAATGCTAGTACTTTTTTTGTGGCCGAGCAGTGTCTCGTCAGGGCTTGCGCTCAAGCAGGTAGTCTGTACAGATGCTCTCTTTGCTTTGTTGGGGGTGATCAGCTTGGGGGCTTTAGAAACATCGAGGGGGTTTAATTTGGCTGTTCAGTTCTACTGTGAGTTGCAACTACAAGAACTGTTCCCATTGAGATCAAGAACGTGAAGCTGGCCTTGTGCCTTCCCGTGTTACAGCAGACAACCTGAAGCCTGCCTCTCAGGACTAGGGTGCTCCGATGGGCACAGTACTCAGGACTTTGTGAGCCCACTGAAGTTGGCTTCAGCTTGTATATCAAAAGGGGTGACTGCCCTGTGCTGAGTCCATGGTTACAAGTTTCCTAACTGAGCTCACTCCCTGGGACTCTGTGCTGCACCCAGAGCCTGGGCGCAGAGGTAAGCCTGGACCACTGCCTGCCCACCCCGAGGTTGTATCCTCTCCGACAGGGCAAGACAGTGAGGGGTTCAGGTTCAGCCAAACAAGTGACCATGGCATCGAGGTATCCTTGCAGTTGTTGGTTGTCTAAGTCTAGAAGTTCAGAAATGGGCTAAGAAGAAGGTTCTGGTAGCAGAGGTAATAGTTCATCATAGTGGCCAGTACTGACCTGTCCTCTCACAGTGAACTTGGCCACTGTGGGCCACAACTGAACTAGACATTGACTGTAAAATGAAACAGTCCTTTTGACTGAAGATGCCCACGTCCGTGGCTAGTAGTAGCCAGGCATCTCAGTGTGGTTTAAGGATGTTTAAGTTCTGCATCTTTGCTATCTTTTGTGTGTGGCTGGTGTAACGGAGGAAATAAGTTTCACTTGTAATAATCATAATTCGTTTTGAGTTTGACTTCCCATGGCCACACTTAGTTCATAACCACTGTACTGGACAGAGCAGTCCATGGCTTCCAGGTACAAGTGCCTGATAGAAGCCCATGTGCGGAGAATGTGGGAGTACACTGAATACAGACATGGGCAGGAAGTGTGTTCAAGATCTCCACCTGCTATATTGTTGGCCAACAAGATCCACCCCATAGCATTAGTTGGAGTCAGTCCAGAATGAGACACCTGCCATGTTAGTGATTCACTTGCCATGCCATGCGCACACCCCACTGAAGCCTGGGCCCTGTTCTCCATCTTTTTGGTGAAGAAACCAGACAACAAGTAACAGCCCTCGTGCAGTTGTCAGAGCCAACATTTCTACCTAGAACACTGATACAAACGCAACACTGCTGGCCAGGCAGGGCTCAGAGAACTGAGGAGCTCTTTCAAACAGTTCCTGTATTTGACCCAGTGGGGTAGGGAAAAGCTTGTGTATTTGGTGTGGTCTTCTTTGCCGGGGTGTGGGTGGCTGTTGGGATTGTTGGGTTCCTGTCGGCTGCTTGCCCCCACGAGTGTCTGCACGCACATCTGAGATCCCCAATTTGGGGACCATGTCCCAAGCCAGTGTTGCTGCTTTTTCCCTCTGCCATCTGGGTTGTAAAAACTGCCATGTCAGAGTCAGTGATTGGGACAGTTTGGGCTTTTATGTCTTCTCTGGGAATGTGGTCTGTGGATGGGCAAGTCCTTAATATGCCCTCCCCTGACACCTAGATGAACAGGCAGAGTACACATGGTTGAGATGGGTTGACAATGAGGATGTAAGCAGAGATGGAACAAGGCCTTCAGAAAGCCCCGTGTGGCATTAGATCAGCTTCTCATCTGCTGGCAGATTATTCTGCTCGTGGCCAGCAGCTCATACTGCTTAATATCCCTGACCTCTAACTCTCCGTGCCAACCCGAGGTGGGGGCAAGGTGGGGATCAACTGCTGTGTGGTCTGATGCCATGGGCAGAACCTGCACAAGGCACCTTGCTCCAGCAGTTGGCCCTTTTGCCTACCCTCCTGCTTTGGCATGGAGAGGCTGCTGTTAGCAGTAAGTAGACTCTACTTAGACCCCATCCTCAGCCCTGCCCTCCTGGGATGGCACTTGGTGTACAGGGTGGCTTGCTTTCCTTCATGCTGGCTGCCAGCTCACTTAGCCTGGGCCATGGATGCACAGAGGGAAGGGAGGGGCACAGGTGGTCCTGGTGCAGACAGAACCTCCAGAACACAGGTTGGAGGGATGTAGACTTTTCCCTGGGGGGGAGGGGTGTGCCTTAGCAGTCCTGGCGGGGTGCTGCTGGCACTGGGAAGGGCCAAGAGTGGCTCCAGCTGTTCACAGCAACCGAGCCCACTGCCTGACCCTCGGGGGCATTCTGGCCAGGAGGAGCTATAGACCTAAGTTCCTTGCTTGAGTTGATTTTTTGAGAAGTTTTCTGCTGCTGTAAACTTTCAAGTTCAAAGCATGGCCAAGTGCATTCAACTCGTAGCGCTGCTGTACTGCGCCAGCCAAGAACCTGGTGTCTGTTTCTCTTAGCCCAACAGGACATGCAGGGGGCGGGGTCTGGGGAAATACATCTACCTCGTAGTCATACACAGACTGGCTAGTTTGCAGTTGGACATGGCTTCTCAGAGCCCCAGGTGAGGATTGAGAAGGATACTGTCTGATGGGTGAGGTCATGCACAATTGGAACATGCAGTGCAATTATGACGTTAACATTCTGTATCATGAGCCGTCAGCACCGACTTCCCAGCACCAGCAGCAATATCTCTTTCTCTTCCCCGATGTGATTTCTAAGAGGCAAGTAGGTTCTAATTTAGATGAGTTGCTTTGGACTGGCATGTGTATCATGCATGATCAATAGAAACACTTTTAGTCCTAGGAGATAACAAAGAGTAAGGCTTCAATTCATTCAAAATAAAGGTGTGGTTTGAATCCAAGATAGACGGATGCATGTGAACCAAACAGGTGCATCCTGTGGCTGGGCTTGCCACAGCACTGCTGGCTGCAAGCCCAGCCTGGACCGGGGCTTGGGGGCTGCAGCACGCCCTGCAGGGGCGGGGGCATACCTACCCTTCCCGGTGGGCCTCTCCTTTTTCCAACTCCTGAATGACCCCCAAGAGCACTTTGATGGTTTCTTGGCTGGAACTGATCAAGTTCTCCATCATGTGAAGCTGTGCTTTGAGGTCCACCACTTCCGTGTGAGGCACGATTCGTTGGCATTCCTCGCCCGCAACTGCTGCCGCGACACTGGGCTGCTTCTCAGGCCCTGGTTCGCCACATCTCGGGGACAGGCACTGAGTTGGGGGCGAGCAGGTGGCAGCAGAGTCTGGGGGCGCCTGGAGCCCATTGAGATGGGGGGCTCTCCCTGGCTCCTCATCTGCTGGACACAGGGACCACTGGCTGGCAGCGGCAGAGTCTGACCAGTCGGGCTCGGCTGCCATGGCACCCAGGGCAGGTGTGTACACAGTGGCCACCTCCGTTTTAAATAGAGTCCCATGGGCAGGCAGCGCTGGCTCTTGGCCTGGAGACTCTGGCGAGTTCTGGAGAGGGGCTTGAGGGGAGCTGAGCAAGTCTGGGCTCCTGCAGGGATCAGCACAGTTGACCGTCGGAGGCCGGTCCACCTCATCCATGTGATCGCTGGAGCGGAACACCAAGGCGGTGGTCTTGTGAATGTGCGCCGCACCACAAGGGCGGGCCTCTCCCGTGGGCCCCGCCTCGTGGGTGTCAGTAAGGAACCCATTGTTCTGCGCTGGGAGACCCTTGAGGTTCCCTTTCTTGCGGTCCAGCGGGAAGGTCTGGTAGCACTTGCGGAGGTCTGGCGAAGTCTGCACACCTGTGCTCTTGGTGACATTGGGGATGGAGCGGCGTGCAGGGACCGTCATGTACTTCCGATAAGCCGAGCGGCAGGAGGAGGGCCTGGCTTCGCGCTTCTCGGAGGGCGGTGGCTGGCCGGCCGCCAGAGGCTGTGCGTCACGCTGCTCATTCTGCGCCTCGCAGATGTCCTTGAAGCGCACCTGCAGGGCCTTATTGCGCTTCTTGATCTGCCGGTTGGGGTCCAGTGTGTACTTCATCTCCAGGGCCAGGCAGGCTGCCGGCTCCACCTCACTGTCAGGCGGCGGTGTGAGTGTGCATGTGCCGCTGTCCTTACTAACCATGGTTCCTGCATTAGCAAACAGCAACAGAGGAGTCAGTGGGACAGGGTCCACTTGACCCAGGTACGGCACTCGAGCAGGGAGGCATTGGCAGGCACCTGCCACGATCCACGTGGACCGGCTCCCTGGGGCCCTGGTAGTAACACGCACCTCCCTGTTCGATGGCCCACGTGGTTACGCACAGCTCAAAGCCCACACGGTTACACACAGCCCGGAGCCCGCCTCCCTTGCCTTGCCGCTGCCTACTGGCTTTGCACATTGCATATTCACACCCGTGCACCCCCACTTCACAGGCAGATGGCTTCCCACATGTAACTTCCTCAATGTGGGGTTTTTTTTTTTTTTTACTATTTTTTGGTGATGACGCAATTAATCTATTACTGGAATCCAGGAGAGTTGCTGCTTTAAAAGATTTACTGAGGATTCAAGGCACCCAAGAGCTACTGAAATGACTACGCTTGTGTTGGCCAGGCTGGCTTCCGAGGGCGCACTCCCTGCTGGAAATCAGTGTGGGCCAGCACAGCCACAGGTACAGCTTGGGTTTCCCTTCTTGCACAGAGGCACTCCAGCAAAATCTCCTTTCTGATTCCATGGAGTGTGGCATTTGAAAATACTTAGGAAAAAAAGAATATTCATGCTAGAATCAAGTTTTGTGTTGTGATCACAGCCTCTGAAAATGAAAACAATGGTGGTTGTTTCAGCACTTAAATCCTGAAAGAAAATAAAATCATGAGGCTTTATGTTAATCATGCAAATTCATCCTGGGCTGAATTATTAAATGCAGCTAAAAAGATGCAGGTGGCCAGCAGTTCCTCCCGGGGAATACCAGCGGGATAGGATGCCTTCACTTTATTAAGCAGATTTGCAGCTGTTTAATCCACCCGGAAGAACTTTCTTAAGAGTTGAACCTAGAACAAGAGATTTCCGTTCAGTGTTTTGTTGTTGAATCAGATTGTATGAGAAGAACCACACTCAGAAGGGAGGAAGCAGGGTGTGAAGGGCCCTGGCAGCTGGAACCAGGGGCCCAGAGGGGCAGGGCACAATTGCCCACAGGCCAGAGTGGCACCAAAACAGGCTCAGGCCTCACCGTCTGGCACAGCTGCTGGGAGACTGCAAGCACCCAAGAAGCCAGCCATGCCCCACAGCAGAACTTTCTGGAAAGGTCACAAGAATGGGGGCACTCGTGTTGTGGGGGTCGTGCATGAGCCAGAGGCTCTGCTAAGCCTGTGTGGAAAATACTTTGGTTTGAGCAAGCCCCTGGAAGTCAGTTCCATGTCTCCCAGTTCAGAGAGGTTGTGCTGTGTGCACACTGACACGCGAGCAGGAAGCAGGCGCAAGAGCCGATTCTTGATCCGTCCTTCCCTGCATGCAGATGAGCCCTGCCTTCGTCCTCAGCCCTTACAGAATCAGCCCAGCGGGCCACACATGCTGCTTCTGGGAAGGGGAGATAAAATGCCTCGCTCCTGTGCAGGCGGCTGCAGGACAGGCCCGCTCCGCAGCCTGGGACTTCTCTCCATTGTCCTGTGCCTCAGGCCACTGTGGTCCTGCCTCTTTGCAGCCCTGCAGTGTTTCCTGAATGAAAAGGTTTTGAGAAAAGTCTCATTCCTCATACATTGTGCTAACTGCTAATCATGTTTGGGGTTGACAAAAAATAATCGCATGCAGCATTTGCTGTAGATGAGACGAGGGTTTGTCAACCGCAGCACTACTGATAATGTGAGGCCAGCTAATTCCTTGTTGGAGACACGCTAGTGTGCAGCATGGAGTGTCACAGCCGCCATCCTGGCTCCTGCCCACCGCCGATGACATAGCACTCCCCCTCCCCTGCTGAACCTGCCTGTGGCCGAGCCCCCTGCATTGGCGCTTTCATCCCTGCATCCTGGAAGATACTGTAAGGCAATGCTTGCCAGCGAGGCAGAAGGAGGTGTCAGGTCCCTTACTGGGTGCTGGGATGCTAGGCGACCTTAGTAAGGTGAAACAGCCACCTGGCCAGCTTTGGCACACTGACTCGGCTGGGAGAGGGCTACCTGGTTTGGTGTGGGTGGGGAGTCTTGCTTCGGTGAGAACAGGGTTGTTTTAGAGATGCCTACCCCAACAGGTTAAACAGGTACACACAAAGGAACCAGGTGTGGAAGGAGCAGGGGGAGGCGAAGGGGACACGGTAAGAAAATTAAATCTTAACCCTCACTCTTCTCTCGTATTCATTCCTTAACTGCCTTTGTTGTCCACGTATGTCAGGATGTATTGTGCCAGCACTCTGGAAGACCTTCACACTGGGGAAAATTTGAAAGAGAGAGCATTTTTACAAAAAGCAATTTACTAGTAATTTTTCAGCATTTTCCCTGCCACTACTGAAAAATGTGTGTCTGAATAAGTTTGTCCTCCAATGCTATTCATCATCACGATTGGCCAAGAACTGCACTGAAATAATTTCCTTACATCAGGCTGCTGGTTTGGAAAGATATTCCGAGTCTTGGTCCCAGCCATCCAACTAATAAAACAAATCACAGGAATTAATTGCTGGTGGCAAAATCATCATCCTAAAGAATTCTGAGCTCCTCTGTTTTTCAGAGTTGCTAAGTATATAAAAATCATTTCCTTCTTAGCAGAAATGATGATAGCAGTTAAGACTTTTAATCAGTTTAGCTTCTTGTTTGTTGAGGAAGCAGGGACAGAGTCGTCTTGACTCTACCAAGGCAGAGGACATCACAGGATGTTTGCAGTTGATTTATTTTGGCTTTCGATGAGGGTGAGAGTTCTTTTTGATGGCTAGATAATACAGCCTAAGGCTTCAAAGTGGAATTTTCCTGGACATTAAGAATTACAAAAGTGGACATGTCTTTCCTGGGTGTTCATTTGCCGTATATGCAAGCTCATAGTAAAGAAAATGATTTTGTCATGGAAGTAAATGGGCATTCTACAGGAGGCTACAGGGGACTGGTGGCGCCTCCTCACACACAGCCAATCCCTCCCTCCTTCGGCAAAGGTACAGACATGTCCCAGGATCAGTTACCATGCGGCCCATGTGCTGTGCACATGTGCGTCCTGCCAGATGTCAGCTGTCCCCTGCACTGCTGTCTGCTCCTTTCTTTCTCCTGAGAGCCTTCAGCAGAGGCACCACTGTCATCCTAAGCCAGCCCCTGCGCAGGCAAGCCTGCAGCCCAAAGGGGCCATGACAAGCTTCACAAAAGCATCAGAGGACGGAAGGAACTCCTCCACACGCTCCCGTGGGCCCATTCACGTGATGTGTCTGGGGGCAGGTCCATGAGCACGTCAGGGAGACAGGCAGCGGGATGAGACGCGGCCCTGCAGCGCAGACGGCGGGAGGCTTGCCTGGCAGCTGCACAGTGCGCAGTAGCCTGCGTGGCAATGGTTTGCCATGCTGACGCCCCCAAGACCCATACCCTCTGGCCCCTGGACTTCCTTTTTCGCCTCTAAAGCAGCAACTGTTTATTTTTCCTAAGAAAACTGTGGTTTGGAATTCACTGGATGGTGCTATGTTGGAAGAAAATGGCCAGTCATGGTTGTGCCTGTCTGGCTGAGGGGGAGCTGTAAGTCCAGGCGCTGTTCGGAATATAAATGTCTTAATTACCACAACTTCATAATCAAAGGCGAGTTGTAAATATATAAGCCCTGTATTCTTAGATTAGTGAGGTTGCATCATTTCTGCTTGTTATTTTAAATGAACAGCTTATAACAGAGTGTTCATTCCAACTCCAAGGAGCTCAAAACTCAAGCAACGAGATGCCTAGTGACAGGGCCGTGTTCCGTCTGCATCAGTGTCCTCCTTCATTGTGGTGGCGCACACGGTCACCGTGGAGCCCGGCCAGCGTCATGGAGAAGCACGCAGTCCGGGCGTCACTGCCATGGCAGCAAAGCAGGGCATCTGAGGAGGTCTGTTCGTCCTGTGGTTTCCAATTTTCAGGCTGGGGAGGTGGAGAGCGACAGGAGATGTTGCTGCATTTTCTTACCAGTTAAAAAAGCTCAGAGCAGAGGCAGCCCCCACCATGGCCAGGCTTCTGGCAAGTGTAAACTCTGACATCCGAGTAAGTAAAGCTTGGGGTCATCAGGAATGATGAGCTCTGGGTACAAGGAGGCCCCCAGAGGTCATCTCTTACTGTTTTCAGGAAGCCTTGATTACGGAATGAAAGGAACTACCCCTCTGTGTGTGTCTCCACGCACAGATCGGTCTGCGTCTGCCTGCGGAGTTGAGTACACACGTGTCAGATGGGAAGAGGGTGAGAGCTGCAAGCAGATTGTGCCACTGCCAGGAAGAACACTGGAGTCACATCTCAGTGCGGAGGCATCAGATTTGACGTACTATTTACACATGCACTGCAAAAGCTTTGTGGGAAATGAATTACAAAATAAATTTATTTTGGCGCCAAAATATATGTGTATAAGAGATCTTCAGAGGTGCATAAGAAGGGCATATTAGGAAAACCTGCGTGAGGATTTCAAGCCTTTTGCACCAAAATAAACTCATGTTTTGATTCCGTTTCTCACAGCCTGCTCCAGGTACGCTGGGGGAGTCTGCAGGATTGGACACCCGAGGCTCTCTGCTGGGTTCTGCCCACCCATTCTGACTCAGGGGCTCCTGGGCGGCTGTGTGATGTGCTGTCAAGTGCCAGTGGGGCCCGGGAAAGAGGGCAGTGTTGCCAAGCCCTCTGCCCTCAGTGTGCACCCATCACTTTATGAAACCACAAGATCCAGCATACAATCTGATGAGTGTGGGAAAGGAATGACTCGTGTTTCTTGTGTGGCTCCCCCGCCCTGTGGGACACCTTGGAGGCAGAGATGCTGGCTGGGATTCAAGATTAACTGGGTCAGCATTTTCTTCCCTGTGCCTGGGGAGTGCCTGAGCATCCAGCCACTTGGAGTGGGGAGCTGTGGCACTGGGTGGCCCTTCAGGCAAGTGCCCAGCTCCCCGGGGCAAAGAGCAGCGCAGCACACTCTCCTTTCCAGAGTGTGGTGAGTTAACTTAGGGATCAATTTTTATGGGC